AGTATTTTGAACCATGTCCTATATTTTGGACTAACGTGTTTTCGTGTTTTAAACAGTAAATAACTTTATATCCTGATTGAATTGCCTATTGTATTGTATTGGTTATTTTGCTGGTAATTGTGTGTATGTTCCATTATTTTTTTGCCACAGAGAAACCACATTCACATATTCAATGGTTTAAATCTAAAAGTGATTGAAACGTGACAGAAATCATTTTATTGATGTGTGTTTATGCACTTTAATAAATAATGGAGTTAATCATGGGGACAAGAATTTCTGTACATGTACACATTGCTGTACATGTACATATTTCTGTATATGTACATATTTCTGGACATGTACACATTGCTGTACATGTACATGTTTCTATACATGGACATATTTCTCCATCAAAAGAGTTCACTGCTCTTTCAGTTACGGAAAGAAGTGAAACACCCTTGGATTAAAGATGATTTTTATCTACCCCAGCTGATTTTACCCTTTTCAATAAACTTCATTTCTCCCAATCTTTCTCCTATTATTATTACTAATCCCTGGACCCAGTGTTAGCTGATTCATAACTGGATGCCATATTTGGTCAACAATGCCATATTTGGAATGCAACAATTTCTCCACCCAATAATTCTCAGAACTATTGTTTCTATCCACCCTCAAGTTCCACGAAAAAGATAACTGAACTAGTGAGAATGAGTATAACGTAAACAAAACCTGCAGTTGTTACTGTTAGCCTAAAAAAGTAAGTCAAGACCAGTAAAGCAGTAAACAAAAGACATAAAACTCATATCTACTGAAATAGGATATTTCTATAACTCAGTGCCTAGCGCTCTAGTGTAATAGCACTGGGGGAAATTTACGTCATTCGTCATACGTAATTGTTTTAAATTCAAAACAGATTTTGAATGATGTAATAATAATGGAATCTACAAGGGGTGTTCCATAAATACAAATGCTATCATTTTGATGTCTGTAGAGGAATCTAGATGACATTTTAGGGATTTTATTCACTGAAATCTGTTTTAATATTTGAATAGACTGCCATTAACACGTTATATTCACAAAGGTTCCCGTCCCTTCCCCACCCCCCCCCCAAAAAAAAATTAACATTGCAAAATGTTGCCAGTCAGTTTTATTTTTTCCAACTTTGTTCTTTATTAAAGTCCAGTCCAACACAACTCTTAAATATTGCATACCATAGTACATACTAGTGCTATATATTCACTTTTTTCAAGTGTTCTAGAACATATTGTCAAGTGGCAATTTGCTAACACTAGTGGCACAAAAATATGTCATCACATTTTTACATAGAGAAATCTGAATTCTTGACTCAGTATACAAGTTCCCATATCACACTTTCAACTCATGCTTCTCTTCTTCATACAATTTCTTTACAAAATTTGAATGAATTAACCCATTTTTGATTTCTATTCAACTTAATTTCAGTTCAATTTTCATGTGTTACCGTGGCGTCTGTTTACTCTATTTTTGCTCATTTCACATTTTCCCAGTGTATTTTTCTCATTCTCATTCCTATTTTTCATTCTATTTTTGCCCATTTCTTTTTTTCATATCTTTGTCCATTTCTATTTTTCATATCTTTGCTCGTTTCTATTTTTGGTCATAATTCTATTTTTCACTCTATTTCTACCCATTTCTCTGATTTCCTCTCAAGCTCAGTTTTATTTTATTTTTAACTGAGGACAGGATATGAGTGGGAGGCAAGTTGTCTTTAAACTCCTTAAATACATGAATGGAATTTTTTAAAAGTCAACTTGACTGATAAATTCAGCAATGATCCCTTTAACAGTTCAAATAAATAAAATCAATTGTCATTTTTGTCCTGCAAATGTACTTTAATCCTGTGATTTACAAGGTGCATGATCGTGTTTATTTCAATTTTATTTGTATTAATGCGAGTTTCATGATCATTGAGCTATGATGAAATTGTTCGTGAATCAACAAGTGAATAACATGAATCTCACTTTTACAGTGCAGTTTGGGTGTAACATAAACAGTCAATTACTTAAAACAGTTGACAAAAAACATTTAGTTAAGTTGACATGTTATCCAGTGAGATAATACAGAAGAACCCCCTGCCACCTACATTCACATCACCCTGAGGACCAGTAAAATATGGAATTCCATTAGTAACAAATTTTGAAAATATCTTTATGCAATCTTGATTTCTTCATTCGATCTTGATTTTTCAAATTCAATCTTGAATATTTCAGTTCAATCTTGAATATTTCAATTCAATCTTGTTCATTCTTTATCTAACATTTGAATATTAGGATAGTCAGCGAGGAGCAATAATGAAAACAGATTTTTGAAAAGGGTAAATTCATAAGGTGGCATTGGCATACCATACTTTTGATGGCCCTCTACTGTGATAATCATTCTCATGAAGTTTGGAAGTGTGTTAAAATAAAATCATCATCATTAAAACGGAAAAGGTATTTCTGAATTACCTTATGAATGAAACCTCCAGGCAATTCTGTTCCATTTTCAATTTATTGAAAAATTTGTTAATATAAAAGTGGTTTATCCCTTACACATACACCAAAATTTGATATCATCACATACACATGAAATGGTGGATGTTTTATATTTTATCAAGGCTTTTCTCACACTGACTCAAGAGTCAAAGATGAAGCTCTCTTTTAAGAAACAAAGTCAAGCGAATGCAAATGATATCACACTCAACAAAGCTTATGAGAAAAATTTGCTTGATAATCACATACACATATTTGATCACATGACAGATAATTGACCTATAGTACATGAGATAATTTATTTGCATAAATGCGGTTTTTGATGACGGTTAGAGAGTCAGTTATCTGGTAATTTGACTATCATAAAAAAACTACTTGACTTTGTTTTGTAAAACACTATGACATACGTGAATATAAAAAAGTTTCTTGACGTAAAAGGAGCAACGTAAAATACCTCTTATGATATAGAAATTTTAGATATCAAATTTTAGATATCAAAATAATAAATTTGATCTCACATTAATGGAAATTAATTGTAAGATAATTTAATCGAATTCTGATATTAACATGTACTGAATGGATTAAATTGATAACCTTAACCTCCAAATTTTTAAAATCAAATTTTTATGTTTTATATGTCTCTGGTTAAAGTGATGAGTAAAGGGGACAAGGGTTAATAAGATACCGGTAAAAATGTAAATAACTTTGCCATTCATAAAAATCTTATGTCAACATGTATACCGGATGGACTCACTTCAAGGACTTGTATTTATCTTGATAGAAATAATTTGCCAACATTTTGTATCGGCCAAAGTTATTACATGTCACATTTTGAATTAAATCAAAAATGAAACATGGATATTTTTACTGCTTATATCAAAATATGTACACTGTATTTAATAACAAAAAGATATTGAATCTCAAATATCTTATTTATTTTATTAAATGATTTATGTGTAGTTTACGGAATATTACTTGTGTCAATGTACTTTTATGGTTGACTCAACTTTAAAGCATTTACGATTTCACAATCCAAAAGCTCTGAATGAATGACAGGAAAATTTGATCTTTTTAAGTTTAAACAAATTTTGAAGGAGCAAAGTCCACCAATTGCAACACAACGGGACATCATAGAATCATAGTCGTGTATATTTTGGTAGTGATTCAGTTTAGTTGATCTCCTTTGAAATGAGAAAGTAAAATAAGTCGAATGTGTGGATCGCTAATTTCTCTGACTTTCTCCCTGGTTTGATTTTCAAGGTTGACCACCCTACCAATTTTTGAGCAGGTTTCATGAGCACCTGTTGTTTTTTTTACCAAAATTGCTTGTTGCTCTGAGAAGTTACACAGTCGTTTCCTTGTTTAAAAAATTAAAATTTTCAACCATCTTGCCCATTCTTTATCACATTTTGAATGTTATCAGAAATTACGATGATTCAAGTGACCTTCAACAGATCAGCTGATTTGATGTTAAATTCTATTTTTACTGATGAAATCAGTGAGATCGTGTTGTTTGACGTTCTTTTTTAAACATTCAGTTCAATGACAGAACTCGTTCAAGCATTTGTCAAGGAGTGTTAACATGTCAACTTTGAATTTAACATAATTCATTCATAATTTTGAATTCGTAGAAAAGGAATAAAAATTAATGTACTTTATCGATTTTAATTACATATAAGTTGCGGATATGACCAAATATATGAAGTATCGAAAATATTTGTGGTATATAATAGATAATAAAAAATACTTTAAAATTTTGTGGTCTACTTGGTGTTTTTTACAAGCTAAGGTTTTTATTTGAATTCACAGAGCCACTGTTTTTTATACATCCATAATATTTAAAGTAGTAGTAATTCTCCATTCAGTTTTCTGAAGTATCCTGCTGTTTCCATTTACAGGTTATTCTCATAACCCAGTTTAATGTTAATAATGTCAATATAGACATTATCATTACTGTTCTAAATAATTACTGTAAGTTGCATTAATTTGCCGCTATTTAATTTGGCAGATCGGGCCGGATTGGGCAAATTTTGAAATTTTGACTGCTATTCAATTTGGCGGATTTACCCATCAGTAAAATGTGAATATTAGAGGGTTCATACAAAAATGCAAACAATGCTCTTGTTTTTTAAAAAATAACCAATAGTGGATCTAGATCTTCGAAAATAGTTCCATATTGACATTTTGTTGTGTATTTTTAAATGTTTTAATCCTGCAAGGGAATCATTAATAATATAACAATAACAATAATACACAATAAGATTCATTCATATATATGTCATATCAGTCACTACAATGTACAAAAACTTCAACTACAAACTACAGTACTACATATTACAAAACTACTTTACATCAGTTTCACATGTTACATGTACAATGTGATTACAAGACATCAGTGTGGTGTATCCATATTATGTATTGCATTATTTTCAATTAAACACTAGTTTTCATATTTGCTGAAAAAAAGAAGTTAAAAAATATTTTTTACATTTTTGTCTTTTCTATTTGCAGGGGAGAAACCATATCTGTGTACGTTCCCTAGTTGCCAGTGGCGATTTGCGCGCTCTGACGAACTAACACGTCACATACGAAAACATACAGGAGCTAAGCCATTCAAATGCCAAGTCTGTGATCGAAGTTTTGCCAGGTCGGACCATTTGGCGTTACATATGAAACGTCACAACCCCTCAAGACTTTCAAAACATTCTAGTAGTAATAGCAATCAAAGTAGTTCATCGGACGATGATATGAAAAAGTGACGACGACCTCAAATGTGATGTCATAAAGGTCTAGTCATGTATAATATTAAAGTAACAAATTATAAAGTACGAAGGTGCGACTAAGTATGTTGCGAAGTAGGGGTATTGCAACTTAAATGGTACATCAGTCCATCTACTACAACGGCCAATCAGACTCCTTCACTGCATAAGCTTCTCAAAATGGGTTAAAATGCATTATGGTAGTTCAGGTCAGCGTGATTACACAGTATCAGGGTGATCACTTGTAAATGCATTGACGTTGAAGAAAATTTCAACTTAGGTTGCTTTTTTGAGCAAAAATTTGTCCTCAAATGGGTGATGTAAAAAATGCTGAACCCCATTGGGCATTTTAGCCCTGATTTTGCCATAGACATTGTGGGCTACTGAGTTTTCAAGATTGAAACACACGAGGGGTGTTCAAAAAATTTTACACATAAAGCCAAGGGATATTGATAAGATCTCACAATATACTGTAGATTGTAGATAGAAAAAGAACTTTTAAATATTGTGAAATGTATAAAAAATGTCTCACGTAAAGTGTATTTACGAATATGTGTACGTAATCAGGCTTTGGTCCTTAGGTCATGCTTTTTTCCCTCATTCTTGTTTTCCTTAAAATGAAGCAAATTATGCATGATATAAGATGTATTTAAGCCCTGCTGTAGTACAGCACATGTATGATTCATGACCCAGTTAAATAAGCTCTATATCTGTGATAGTGGTCAAGATTACGTCTTTTATGGTCATTGAAAATGGTCTTGTAGATTTAAATCAGAATGTGTACTTAAACTAAATATCAGGTATTTGAAATTATAATTCTGTTTTATTATTGTTATGAAACCATTATGATGTTATGATATGTTTATATTTGTAAAAAAATGTGGAGATCAAAATTCACTTAAAATCATGAAAACTTAATGAAAGAGTTGTTTTTAATAACGAAGCATTCATTCTACTTTTTTTCAACTTCAACACAATTGTATTCGCATTTTATAAAGTGAGGATTGTAAAAATATTCTTATGTGTTCATTTTTAGATATTTACCTAATTTTTGGACAGGAACAATGCCAAGTTGCAAACTTGTAGTTACAAACTTCTCAAATTCTTGTAACAAGTTGCTTGTAATCTCCAGGCCTGTAGCCAGAGGGGTTCGATGGGTTCAAGCCCCCTGGCCAAAAATTCTTTCAAAATCATGCATTTTTCATCATTCTGGGCACTTTTTAAGTGATTTTGGCCATTTTTGGACCAAAATTGTCAAAAGTGAACCCTCTGGAATTTTCCAAAAAGTGAACCCCCCTTGGCAAATCTTGGCTACGGGCCTGATCTCCTTCTACATTGAGGATAGAACGGAACAGAACAGGGCCTTTGTGCAAAACTATATAGAAAATCTCAACCATTTATAAGGCAGCATTGTAATCAATCTTTTTTTTTTACTCTACGCTTTAAGAAAACTTCAAAAGTTAAACCAGTTGGGTAGCATTATTATCATAAATTGAATTACTTGGAGAACATTAGACATGCCTAAAATCAGAAATATATCCATTATTCAGCGACGTAGCCAGGAAGAAAAAGGTGATGGGGCGAAAAATATTTCCAAACCTTGCCTCGTTTGCCTGATAAAAGAGGAATACGATGATAACCCTTACGTGATGAGATTGTTCAAAATTGATGTTTTAAGATTAAAAATCTATAAACGTGATACATTTAATTTACAACTCATTATTGCTAAAGGAATATTTCTCAAAGGATGTTAAAACAGTGATGAGGGTGAGGCATTAGCACCTCGTCTGCCTCATTTTGGCGAGGCTAGAGTTATTGAGTAGTAAAAACACCTCTTAACTCATTCGCGCGCTCAGGCGACTTTTTTCGCCAATTCGCTTAATGGCGTATGTCGACTTCAGGTCGACAAGCTATAGGGAAGTTTTAACAGACTTAGAAAGATGTCACCCTAGTATTGCAGTGCCAATGTTTGGTACTCACATTGACAGGAAGTGATTTAAAATTAATTTGGCGAAGAGAAATGATTGAAAAAATTTATTTTGGTCACTTATTGCTTTATTTCGAAATAAATACAAATCTGGAAGTGATCAGACATTGTGGTATTTAAAAAGCGCTTGATTTAGACTGGGTAATGATGATCAAATCGCTGCTATATTCAGCAATTCTTGTAGTGAAGCCTAATATTTGAAGCCTCAGAAAATGAAATTTCAAAACGATGATGGGCCTGACAACTCTGTGGCTGGGGGACAGGCCAGGGAAGCTGCTGGGGTACACCAAGGTTATATTTAGTAGGGTTCTAATGTTTTTTTTGTAATATACATGTTTAGGATTTTTTTATCATCAGTGCCTCTCATTGTGATGAGTTCATACATTAACATATGATTCATACATATGTTTCTAATCATGAGTAAAAATTTGGTGGTGTTATCTCTGTTGGTTTAGATTTTATGTCACTTTCAAATTGGCAGGCACGAAAATCCTAATCCTTAATAAATTAATTAACGCTCAGTAGCTTTTAAAAATAATTAAATAGCGCGCCAATGAGTTAAATTGATAAGTTGCACTATATGAAATCTTTGTTAGCATGTCACATTGTCTCTTATTAATGGGAGTGCCACTGAAGGCAGAATAACATAGACTTTACCGCTTTGCTCAGGTAACATTACCTGCTGTATCCTTTAACATTACATAAGGTAAAGAACAGGCTGTATTTTGTCCACGTGTATTTAAATTCATTTCATTTTCAGTGAATCTTGAAGGATGGTTCAGGCATTTTGCCAAGATCTTCCTATGTTATGACTGAGTATTATGTTACATCACAGGCCTGTAGCCAGGGGGGTTCGATTGGTTCGAGCGAACCCCCCCTGGCCAAAAATTCTTTCAAAATCATGCAGTTTTTCATCATTCTGGGCACTTTTTAAGTGATTTGGGCCATTTTTGGACCAAAATTGTCAAAAGTGAACCCCCCTGGAATTTTTCTAAAAAGTGAACCCCCCTTGGCAAATCCTGGCTACTGGCCTGCATAATATTCAACTTCTTAATTCAAAGTAACTCTATGACCACTGTTTCAATTTTTTGAGAAACATTCATAGAAATTCCAGCAAAATCAAAATTGAGAAAGATCTTATAAATGTGGCCAAGCTGTATTTTGTACATCTTGTGTCAAAATATGACACACTGTGTCAAAATATTACACACTGTGTCAAAATGTTACACACATTATATCAAATGAGTATGTATGCTATGTTAAAGAAAATATGTACATATGTCATACATGGATTATGTTTAAATATGTTGTTCATAATTATACTAAATCAGAAGGGTACGTGCATGAAGCTTGAGATAATCACATTTGTGTCAAACATGGTGCATATTGTGTCAAATATGGTGTCAAACATGGTGCATATTGTGTCAAAACATAGTGCATATTGTGTCAAAACATAGTGCATATAGTGTCAAAACAGGCATATTGTGTCAAAACATAGTGCATATTGCATCAAAATTATGGTGCATATTGTGTCAAAACATAGTGCATATTGCATCAAAACATGGTGCATATTGTGTCAAAACATGCATATTGTGTCAAAACATGGTGCATATAGTGTCAAAACATGCTTATTGTGTCAAAACATGCATATTGTGTCAAAACATAGTGCATATTGCATCAAAACATGGTGCATATTGTGTCAAAACATGGTGCATATTGTGTCAAAACAAAGTGCATATTGTGTCAAAACATGGTGCATATTGTGTCAAACATACAAACATGGTGCATATTGTGTCAAATATGGTGCAAAGGTGTGTATTAAGTTGTGTAGATGTCAAGCAAGAAAGAAATATTCCGCAATAGTGCTAAAGGAGTTGAAATTGTGTTAAAACATTGTATATCATGTCCAATGGTATTGTACATTGTGTCAAAATACTGCACATACCAAAATGTGCATATCGTGTAGTTTTATTCTGTATTTGCATGAAAAATGTTGTGTCAGTTTATTGTACATATCATGTCAAATAGGTCAATTTAATTCCAGTTAAAATAAAAATAAAAAACCTGATAAAAATGCTTATGCTTATTTCTATCCCTTTTTCTCTGAAAATTAGATGAATTTTAAACAGAGTGTTCACTACATGCCTTTTTACCTCATTTCTCGCCAATTTCACTCTTTCCACTCTATTTTGCATTTAATAACGCGACCAGCATGATGTTCATTCACGATGAAAAACATTTCTGCAGACTATGAAGCTGTAAATAACTGCTTTTCAAACGAAACAAAAAACAAATCAGGGAAATCATGTTTTATTCAAATTCATTTTTATGTATTTTCTGTAAAAAAAATTATTTACGAAAAGTAAAAATTACTTACGAAAAGTGTGAATTACACTATGAGAATTAAGGGAGTAAATATTTTTGTTAATTAAGAAAAACATTGTTAATTCACTTAATATTGTACATGTACATATATCATGTAATTATGATGTCATATGTTGTTATATATGTATTTGTAAAAAATATTTATTAAATTGGCACTATATTTTTATGTGAAAAGCTAATTTTGAACGACTATCGGCAAATGATAATATGATGGCTGAAAGTATTGCAATTTACTTTTGTGAATGTAGATTTTTACAACTTTAATTTTCTGATCTAAAAATTCTTCCGCAAGTCTGTTTTTAAGGATTTCTTTAAATTTATTTTGAGAAACATAAGCGTTGGTTCACCCAAGAAAAGATTTTTGAATGGAGTTCTAGAAGATAAAGTTCACAATCCTACAGATTTTCATAAGCTATTCTCTATTGATTCGATATGATTGTTTGTAGATTATTAAAAATTCCTAACAAACACCTAACAATCATTCAGTAAATAGAAAAAAACAAGTTTGACTACAATAAAAGAATCATGAATGAAAAGTCAAATAGCTCATTTATGAACAGCTACCTATACAAGATAGGGTAGTATAAAAGTTATTCATTCACATACATTAAAACCTGTTTTATCTGAATGCAGATGAGGCTGGCAAAAAGTGTTCAGATTAGCAGGTGTTCACATTTCAAATTTTCTTAATACACGAGTCTATGGCATTAATGGGAAATAGGAAACATAAGACTGAAAAGAGAGAGAGGTGTTCAGAAATGATGGGTGTTCAATTTTGAGAGGTGTTCAGTTATACGGGTTTTACTGTAATTTGTAGACCTTTATGTTGTGCTATACAGACTGTATATATAGACTGCATGATAAATGTATGTATTTTTGAAGTGAACATGAATGTGTAAACAAAGTTTCACATGGTTCTATAAAAGTTGCCAAGTTGATTGAGTAAATAAGAGTAATGTTCAATAAATAATGAGAATAATTCTTCATGATTATGAGGCGCAAAATAAGCTATACCTATACTTTTTGAACAACCCTCAAACCCATAGTTATGTATGTGCATGTAAATTAAAATTAAGTACATGTAGCAGATATTTGCAGACTATTTTGTGAATAAAAGTATGTCTATAAAAGTTAAATTTGTGATTTTGTAATATTTTGGTATTTGTTTTAACGAAAATTGACTTTAAGATGAGCAGCAAAATTAGAAACAG